TTCTCTCTAATATCACCCACTTTTTCCTCTGAGCCCTGGCAACTACTAAGCTACTTTCTATCTCTATAAATTTGCCTATTCTGAATTGTCACTACAGTGCTGTCGAATCACTTCTGAGTCATTGTTGTTTTTGTTAAGTGCTGTGGTGCTGGTTCTGACCCATAGCGACCCTGTATAGGGTTTCTGAGGAGCAGCTGGTGAACTTGAAGTGCCAACCCTGTGGTTCAAACCAATTTTGCAGTCCAGCCCATAATCCATAGTGCCACAGCACGACTCATAGCAACCCTATATAGGGAGTCCATGGAGCTGCTGGTGGATTTGAACCACCAGTCTTGCAGTTAGCAGTTCAGTGCTCATCTATGCTGAATATTTTATATAAATGTGTTCTTTCTTAATTCAGCATAATTCTTTTAACACTCAGCTATGTTATAGTATATATTAGTACCTCATTCCTCTTTATTGTCAATATTCAATTATATGGATACATTCTATTTATTCATTGATTAGTTTCCAATTTTTGACCATTTTACTAAACTATAATTAATTTCAATTTAAATAGCACAGGTAGTTGAATCATTAACCTGATTAGATTCTAAAAGCCTATGAACTCGTGGTGTGGCTCTATAGGACTACTACTGACCTGCAAACCACAAGGTCAGCAATTCAAACCCCTCAGCTGCTCTTCGGAAGGCCTATACAAGGTTCCTATGAGTCGGAACTGACACGACGGCACTTAACAACAACATATAAAAAGCAGATTAACTTGAAATATCCAGGGAAGTTGGTAACACAAGTAACATGTGTTTATTTGCATTTTTATATGTTTTAAACTACCAGGGTAATTTTCGAAGTACTTTGTTGTTTTCCATGTCATCGAGTTGGTGCTCTCTCTTCGTGACCCTATGACTAACGAAAATGAAACACTGCCTGGTTCTGCACCAACCTCACAAGCATTGCTACATTTGAGCCCATTGATGCTGCCACTGTGCCAATCCATCTCGTTGAGGGTCTTCCTCTTTTTCTCTGATCTTCAACTTTACCAAACCTTATACCCTGTTCCAGGGACTGCTCCCTCCTGATAATATGTTCAAAGTATGAGACATGAAATCTCACTACCCGACTTCCAAAAAGCATTCTGGAGGTACTTCTGCCAACACAGAATGGTTTGTTCTCTTGGCAGTCCATGGTACTTTTAATATTCTCCTCCAAAACCGTAACTCACATACATCAATTCTTCTACTGTATTCCTTCTTCATTGTCCAACTTTCACATGCAAATGAGGTTACAGAAAATACCATGGCTTGGATCAGGCGCACCTTAGTCCTCAAATTGATATCTTTGCTCTTCAACACTTTAAAGAGGTCTTATACAGCAGATTTGCCTAATGCAGCACATCATCTGGTTTCTTGACTGCTGCTTCCATGAGTGTTGGTGGTTGATACACACAAAATGAAGCCTTTGACAACTTCAATCTTTCTCCATTTATATGGATGTTGTTTACTGATTCAAGTGGTGAATTTTTGTTTTGTTTACATTGAGGTGCAACCCATACCAAGGGCTATGGTCTTTGAGCTTCATCAATAAATATTTTAAGTCCTCTTCGCTTTCAGCAAGCAAGGCTGTATCATTTGCATATCGCAAGTTGTTAATTCGGAGAAGTATAACTTCAAATATACTTCTTCCAATCCTGATGCCACATTCTTCTTCATATAATCCAGCTTCTTGAACTATTTGCTCGGCATACAAAATGAGTAAGTATGGTAGAAGAATATAACCCTGGTGCACACTTTTCCTAATTTTAAACCATTCAGTGTTCCCTTTTTCCATTTGAGCAACTTCCTCTTGATATACATACAGGTTCCTTATAAGAACAGTTAAATAAATGTTCTGGAATATTCATTCTTCACAATGTTGTCCAAAGCGTGCCATGATCCATACAATCAAAAGCCTCTGTGTACTCAATAAAGCATAGGTAAATATCTTTCTGGTATTCTCTGTTTTCAACCAAAATCCATCTGACGTCAGCAGTGATATCCCTTGTTCCATGTCCCTGTCTGAATTCAGACTGAACCTCTTGAAGTTCTATGTCAGTGTACATTTTCAGC